TGGTATGCCTGTTTCTAAATCCCTCCCCTTTCTGTCACACCCACATACCTCTTAGAAAGAAATCATAAAACCAAAGGCTGGGGCAGGAAACAGCTTCCCAGCTAATTTTCTTCCCTTGCTGCTTGGCTATGTCTCGGTTCTAAAATGGCAGCCTGCAGCCCAGCTGGCGTGGCTCAGTGGTTGAGCATTGACCTATGACCAGGAGGTCATGGTTTGATTCCTGGTTGGGGCATCTGGATTATGGGCTCGATCCCCAGTGTGGGACATGCAGGAGGCAGCCGATCAATGACTCTCATCATTGATGTTTCTATCTCTCTCCCCCTCTCCCTTCCTTTCTGTAATCTATAATAAAAATATATTTTGAAGAATAGTAAGGTTTACAAAAAGCAGCTATAGTAAATAACAAGAGTCTTCCATACCATCATCATCAATACAAGTAAAATCCAAATAGTTTACATAATATTATTAGTTTTCATTTTTTAATATAGTTGTTAATGCTTACAGTGGTTCTGTTTTCTCTAGCCAAATTTGAAAATCCTTAACTCAAAAGAATAGGTGATATTACCTATTTTATTTAATAACTTTCAAAATCTAAGCATATAACTTTGAAATTTTTTTTAAATATTAGCACCATAAATTATATTTGAATATTTTATGTTTCAGTGGATTAAAACCTAAATTCTATATGTTCTTTTCATTAGATGAATAGTTCAACTTACCTTATCAAGTTCATCTGAAATTGCAATACCTGGGATTCAAAAGAGATTTATAAAAATGTTTTAGAAGCAATCTTTAATAACCTAATGTCAAAGACAAAAGTTCTATTTGTAAAACTAGTGTATTTTCTATTCTATTTTTTCTTTTTATTAGTGCTTCAAAATAGTGTGATACAACCTTTCTACTCATGAAAACAAATTAGGAATTCAAGTCAACTATGACAGCATGAACTGCTGAAAAATGCAAATGATGCAACAAAAACAAGACAAGTACCACACTGGTTTTTAGATGCAGAGCTAATGTGCATATAATTGTAGGGAGATAGTCTTTATGTTATAATGACAATCAAGTATAACTTAGCTCGTTACAATTTTGTTCCTGCTTATGAATTGATTTAGACTCCTAGAGTGATAAAATATTAAGGCAGCATGGTGGTTGGAGATCATTTATTTTAATTCGCTTTTTCACAGATAAGGACACAAACTAGAGAGCTCTAGGAATTTGTCCCAGTCTCTTAGACTGACAGCTTCTTAAGCCAATGGATAAATGATTCTTCCTCACATTACCCTTCTTACCATTCCTCACTGTACATCTTGTTTCTGTCTTTACCATTCCTCCAAAATTGTTTTAAATCAGCAATGTAAAGAGCTTAGTCCTTAACTTATCTGTCATCAACACTCTGTCATTAAACGCTGTTAACTCCCTCTCTTTTCTAATCTCCTGATCTGTCTCCCCCACAGGAATCCTGTTCTTTGGAGTCCTTTCCTGAAATGCCAACAGTTCTTTGCTGAGCTGTCTTTCTTTTCAGTTGATATTCTTTCCTGAGCTATCTAACCCACACCCCTGACATTGTTATTTCTCTATATGGTGATGACAAACAAGCACAGACTTTCTTCCTGAGCTAGTTGTTGAATTCCTAAGTGCATTTCAGTCTCAAAGTATCAGACTAATGACATCACCTTCCCTGCATATCATTTCCCCCTGTTTGTGAATGATGCTGTGCCTAGAGCTGAACATAGGCCCTGGGGCCAGGCATTGGAGCTGGTGTGGCCATGTGGGGGGTACTTTACCCATTCCTAGAGCTTCTCCCACTCCAATAACCTAATATATCAATTATAAACAAAGCAGAAAAATATTGCCCTACTATATCTCAGGAAATGGCACCATTCTTTCCCTTGTAGATAAAACTAGAAACACAGGTGTATCTGAGACTCATTCATCATAGCAATATTCCATATAATTCTTTTTTTGGTAAAAGTTATTGGTAACTAGGAATTGTATGTGTTACTGCACTAAAAAAAAATGTCTAGCTACCGCTTTGGGAATTTGGGGTGACCTAAGCTTAACAATTACTCAAGGACATGCTGTATTAATTAGCTCCTTCAAACAATTCAACAAAGGCTTCAGGAAGGAGTAGCATTGCAGCTGGCCAGTATCTGCATTGAGTGTGTGTGGTGGAGGACTCTGAGACATAATGGATTCGCAGTGGGGAGGATATGTAAGACCAGTAAGAGATCCCAAAGCTTTCTGAACAATTATAAATATTTATAAAGACCTAACATAAGTACCCATTTATGAATATTAGGGTTTAAATCCTAATATATAAAAAGCCAGGGGCCGTCATGACCAAAACAACCAGATGGACAACCGAACAGTAGTCTGCATGGGGCAACCAGCCGGCAGTGGGGGTGAGGGATGACCGAAACAGGCCGGCAGTTAGCGGTGATCAGGCTGGCAGGAGGGGAAGTTATGGGCGATCAGGCAGGCAGGCAGCTGAGTGGTTAGGAGCCAGCGGTCGCGGATTGCGAGAGGAATGTCCAACTGCCAGTTTGGGCCCTATCCCAGGCAGTTGGGGACCTAAACAGGCAGTTAGAGAGCCTCCGAGGGGTCCCGGATTGGAGAGGGTGCAGGCTGGGCTGAGGGACTCCCCGCCCCATGCACGAATTTTATGCACCGAGCCTCTAGTATATATATAATATTTTAAATGGTCACTTGGAATAACTCAGATTTCACAATAATGTATAGAACACCAAATGTTTTATGTCACAGTCTACAATATATTTAAAATAATTATTCCAGTTTACAAAAACCAAGTAAATATTTAAGTACTAATATTTACATTAAATACAAAAATGTTCCTTTTGTATTATTCAATATTAAAACTGAATATATTGTGTAAAACTAAATATTTAAAAGACAATCTACTTTAAAAAGAGAGAGTAGATACATAAAACAAAATTATCTTTCTCATCCAAAGCCATAAAATTTAGATACCTGGAATTATATAACCCATGATTTAATTGTCTGAGATTTTTGAAACACACTTGATTTTTTTAAAAAAAACTTTTTGCATTAATGCCCTTGGTCCTGCAAAAGGAGTTTTCTCATCAAATTTTTGGAAAGCTGTCAGTTGATCTTTAAATTTCTTTTACACCTCAGTTTATAAATCCATTATTCATAAATATAATAATAATAATTCACCTATCTAGACTGTAGCCAAGAACTAGCAAGTAAGTCAAAAGATCTTTGAATAGTCAAAATCTATTTGTCATACAGAACTTGCCCATCACTTATGACCTAGCTCCTTGGATCCTCTATCCACTGTCCATCACTCTCAACTTTCAGACGCTGTTTTGCAGAGCCAAGAAGTGTTGCCAATGAAAAATTGAGATGAAGGGAAAGGTTGCTATGAAGATACATTAACATACTAAGAAGTAATAGGTCCCACAACAAAATTCAAACTAGATAAATTGGAAACTTGCCTTGGGGGAAAAAAAATATGCTTCTAACTGTTCTAAGTGTTTGGTCGGGCATATTTTATTGAGATACCTATTATTATACTTTTTAACACATATATTTTGATGATTCTGCCTAATAAATTATCTAAATAAGTATCTATTCTATTGCATACGGTTCTTTCTGCTCCCTATTGACAATGTCAAATTACCGAGGGTATTTTTCATTTTTTTGTAATTTCACTTTTAATCAAAGTTTAAACTAACTAAAACAGTTGAAAGAATTTTAAAGAAATGCTTCCTTCCAGAAGCATTAAGCTCCAATGGGAACCATTTACAATGAGTTGCCAGGATATTTCTCCGAGTGCCTAGCACAACATTCACAGCTATTCATTAACTCTTAAAAGCCATCATATTTTAAGATAATATTGTTAAAGTATGTAGGAATGCAGGAGCAGCAGTGAACTGAAAATATCCAAGAGAAAATGTAGTGAGTGGGTTGCTACAATATGCTGTAAGGGACATGCACCACTGGCTCACTCCATAAGCTATTCCCTGAATGAGAAAATATTGTATTGTATGAAGCCACATGATTTTGGCCATGAGACGCCCCTAACATAAGGTTATGGCAAGCTAGCCAGGCACAGCTCAGGAAAGGCAGGAATTGCACGTGTTTTTCCTGACATGGGGCAGGAACGAAATGGGCCATGTTAAATGGATAAACCAATGATCTGGGCATTGTCATTGTGTTGTGTGAACTAGGGACTAGAGAAGAGAATCAGACCCAAAACATATTTTTGAGGGAAAATGAGCAAGATTTGGTAAGAATTAATTTTTGAATAGTTAAGGGGGAGAGAGAAATGTGTAGAGGGGCTCCAGTTTAGGAGAATTGGTAAGCGACGGTGCCACCCTCTGAGACAGAGCTCACAGAAAAATGGTCACATTTGAAGAGGGGGGTAGGATCTACTCTGATAGACAGAATTTAGCATGGCAATGAGCTAAATTCAAGTGGAAATACGTTAGGCATTTTGTTTCAAAAGCATATACAGACTAATGTCACCAATAGGTTCTGCAACTTTAAGCAAAATGACATTCAATAAAACCAACTTACCATAGGCTAACTGATATAAACAAACATTTCTATAGCATCTCATCAAGATTTGTATATATTGATAAAAGCCTCTGACACATTCATATAAGGTTCTTTTCATGAATATAGTATAGCAATAAGCTGAAAACTCACTTTATCATTATTTGACCCAAAAGTCAGTCATAGGTGGCAGAACAAACCCTCTAACCTAGGCGCTTGGATTATAAGTCATTGCTTTTACACAAAGTACTTCACACAGCACTATGCTAGGCTCTGAAAGGATTCTAAGAAAAATCTGGCCCCATTACCATCCTTAAATGTAGAGACATTAAAAACCCATGAAAGCAATAGGAATATGTGTTCATTAAGATGACACAAAACAAAGAGGTTCAAAAGAGAAGAATGAGTAAGATACCATTAGGTGTACCCTTGACCTTGATAACAGAGAGTTTGCAGAGAAAGGTGGTGAAATAACCATGGGGGTCTATAGCTCCTCCTACTCTGTATAACCAGTCTTCCCATGAGGCTGTGTAATATGCAAGATCAATCTCAGTTCCAAACCAGGCCCTTAGAACTCCTCAACCTCTCACAGAATTTTTACTTTTTTGTTTTTTTATTTTAAATATATTTTATCTCACAGAATTTTAATGAGGATGTTGGAAATGGGTTACCAGCAATATTAATGAGTGCTTCTACTTTAATATTGGTTAGGAATTTCAATTAGGATTAAATAACTGAACTTACTTCGAGAGAGCTTCTCAAGGGCTTTTCCCAGCTTCCTGCTCTCTTGAAGGATGTGGTTCAATTCATCAAAATCTCGGCTTCCTGGTTTAGTTCGCCAGTTCCACTTAGGATGATCTACTGACCTTGACACTATGTTTAAAAAAAATGATTACTTCATAAGCATGCTGCATAGTAATAAAAACTTACTATTTGTCATTAGGTGAAAGACTGTATAAGATCATATACAGAATAAAAATGTCTGTCTTGGAAATGGTTTTCTTGTGAGCGAGCAGTGGGAAGTTATAAGGCTGGGTTTTAAGAAATGTTTTAAATGAACAAGTAAAGGGAAGTGTGATGCTATCTGTAGAAAAAAAGAAAAATCAGGTACTGATTTAAAACTAATAATTTCTAGAATTTAAGGAAAACATAAAAGTAGATTTTGTTTGTTTTAGCAGCTTAAAAATAATCACTAACTTCACTAACTTCTTTATCATCAATTAGTAAAATATTTCTAAGACATTCTTGCCGTCTTCTAGTAAAACAGAAACGACTGTAATTACCTTCATTTCCCTTCAAATTCCAAATTCCCACTAAAATTATTAGAGTAAAGGAATTTTTATTTTTATTTTTTTGGACGAAGAATTAGTTAAGCAAGGAGAGAAGCCACTATTAATATGATAAGAAATAGCATCATTGTTTATTGGAAGACGCAAAATGAATTGATGAGTAGTAAACAAATTTAGCAAACTAGAGAATATCGAAACCTAGTCCCTGAAGAGAGAGATACCCCCAAAAGTGATCATTTCAGACAATTTAAGCATGAGAGTATCAAACAAGACCAACGACAAAGTAATAAGAATACAAAAACTTTCTTCTTCAGACTGGAAGAATTCTTTGAATATCACTAAATTTTACAACAATAGAAGTAAAGAAAAGATCTTAAAAGTTTTCAGAGACAATAATAGCAAATCATATCATCATCAGACTTCTCAACAGCAACAGTTCTCCTCAGAAGATGGGGGAGAAAGTCTTTCAAGATTTCAACTAAAGAGTACTTCCAACTTAGAATTTTCTACCCAACTCAAGGATCAATTAAGATACTTGTAAAGACTCAAAATTTATCTTGCAAGCATTTTTTTCCCCAGAAAGCTCCTAGTGGAGGTGCTCCACCAAAATACAAAGTGGAAAGACTTGGGACTCAGACAATAGGTCATCCTCCATAAGAAAAAGGAAAAGGGTCACAGTGAAGAACAATCCTGGGAGATAGCTGAAAAAGCAACTAAAGACCCAGAAGCCAAGAATGGAGCAATAGGACAGAGAACTACAGGGGAAATGGATGTAACACTTTTCAAACGAAATAAAGTAAAAAATATAAAATAAGACCAAAATTAGGATCACTTGATGTATTTGATCATATTGAGAGTGTTTAATAGTTTAACACAGGATTTGGTGAAGTATTAATGATGGATACATAGAAAACAAACAGAAAAAAAGTCAATTATTAACTCTTAATTAAAAGTCATCTAATAAATTAATAGTTGGACATCTTATGTCTGTACTGTGAAAAACACAAATTAATGTAGTCTTATTAATACCAAAGCAGAGTATATATTCAACCAACATTTGAAATATATGCATGACTGTAGGGGGATGCTGAGATGGGGGCAGAGTATAAAGCATGAAGTCTTAGAAGGAGGTCAAAAGATGATGCCTCAAATGTAAAAGTAAAAAAGAACATGTAAGTACCTTGTATGTTTTCATATTTAGACCTGTGTACCAAAAGCAACATCTAAGAGAGTTAAAAGTGGTTCCACATTAGAAGAACAGAGGAGAAGTAGTACCTACTACTTTACTTTTTAAAACCACATATATTTTTGTTTCAATAAAAATAAATAAATTCTATATATTTATATGGTAAGGCTATAGGAAAGAAAGGCTGTTGAAATATCTTTTCTGCTACCTATTTGAAAGGTAATCTGGCAATATCAATTATAATAAAAGTATAATGACCCTCTGGCCCAGCAATCTTATGTTTGGTTAATTATAATAAATAAAAATGTCTATACTTAAATATAAACTAGAGGCCCGGTGCACAAAAATTTGTGCACTCTGGGGGTGAGGGGGTCCCTCAGCCAGGCCTGTGCCCTCTCGCAATCTGGGACCCCTCAGAGGATGACCAACTGCTGGCTTAGGCCCGCTCCCCGGGGGGATTGGGCCTAAGCTGACAATAAGACATCCCTCTGGCAGCCTGGGAGCCCTCGAGGGATGTCCACTTGCCAGTGGAGAGCAGGCCTAAGCTGCAGTCGAACATCCTTAGCACTGCTGAGGAGACGGGAGAGGCTCCCACCACCACCGCTGTACTGGCAGCCGTTAGCCTGGCTTGTGAGCAGAGCTCACCCATGTGGGAGCACACTGACCACCAGAGGGCAGCAACTGAATTGAGCATCTGCACCCTGGTGGGCCGTGTGTGTCATAGT